ATATTATATTATATTATATTATTAGTCTGGGCCAATCTCCAACCAACACCTTGGTCTGTTTTTGATCCAGGTTCATGGGAAAGTAATTAGGAGTTATTAATTACTATTAGTTCATGATCCAGGTTCATGGGAAAGTAATCTATATTTGCTCTCTCCTTCCCTTTTCATTTGATCATCACAAGAATCCTTGAGATGGGTGCAGCTAGGAGTTAGTGACTAACCCTAGACCATCAGCTCAACATCATGGCTGAGTATGGACTTGAACTTATACCTCCCCAATCATGTCCATATAAGGGCATCTTAATGTACATTTACACTCTGTTGGGGAAGCAGTGAAAACAAGCTTTTTGGAATGAGTTCTGTGAATGTGTCTTTTTTCTGATGTTCTCAAGTTTACCCCCCTAAACATCAGAGAATAACTTTCAGAGAAAGTACACCAGCAAAATAGCATTTCCTAGAGGAGCTTTGCCCAATCTGGTGCCCTGCAGTGTTGGTTTTCCAATTCCACAATCCCTAACAGCATGGCCAGTAGCTAGCACAGCTGTAGAACACCAAGTTGGGAAGGCTTCCCTGGGCTCAAACATCTTTGTAAAGGTCAACAGCATCTCAGAGACCTTCCCGAATATCCTGAAGAGATGAGCTCATGAGAAGATGGTGGAACCGGAGTCCACTCAATAAAACATGGCCTCCTTTATCATCCTTAAGGACACAGAAATCATCAATACAGCCATCCTCACAGGACGGACGGTTGCCATCCCCGTGAAGGTCATCGCCATAGAGATGACAGGAATTATCTTGGATATTTCGGCAATGGTCAAATGCAAGTCCAGCAATGAGGACATCATCAAGGTGGGTGAGGGAGCTGGTGCATGGGAGGAAAGTTCATCATCTTGAAGCTGGGTAGCCTGGTATTGTGGGGGGATGTCCAACCAAGGAAGTATTGTGAGGTCTGGGTTTGCATTGGATGCTAGATTGAGCTAAAATGGTGCTGGGTAATTTATGGATCACTGTCTTACAGGAACTTAACCATTGTCTTAGCATGTTGTGTGAACCAAGCCATCATAATACAGTGGTACCTCGGTTCACAAACTTAATTAGTTCCGCGACTCTGGTCGCGAACCGAATTGGTCGTGAACCGAATCAAATTTTCCCATAAGGTTCAATGTAAATACGGTTAATCTGTTCTGACCCCTCCGAATTTGGTCGCGACCCGATTTTTGATCGTGTCCCGAATCAAATTTCCCCATAAGATTCAATGTAATTACGGTTAATCCGTTCTGAACCATATGTTGTTGTTGTTTTTAAACTGCAAAAATAAGAAAATACAAAATACAGTACGAAGAGAGAGAACGCTAACCTTGCTCAAGGCGACTTCTGGCGTGGAGGACAG